GCTGCGAGGGTGGCAGGTCGGTTCCCAGGACGAGGCAGGAAGGGCCTTTTGTGAGGAGAAACGGATTTTCAAGTCAGGGCGACACAGGACTCAGGATTCAGGTAAACGCATTTCCGTTCTCCTCCAGCAGCAAATACTTCTCTTCTTTCTTGGATGGGATTGAACCGATAGTGAGCTGACACAGATGTGGGTTCGTATCCATTTAAAATAACACACCTGAGTACAGTCCGCACTGTGCACGAGGGAAGGTACAGAAGCCCCGGAAATGTCCGTTGTAAACGGACCTCTTAACTTTCTTTATTTTTATCTAGCTCTGATATTTAGTGAGGCCAAAACCTTGCCAATGAAACCACTTGCCAAGTGGGGAACAGAGAATTTAGGGGGTCCCTGGTATGAGAACCAGGCTAGTAGGAAAGAAGTTACGTCCTTAATGTTAATGAATTCAGTTTCTCCACCGATGTGAACTTTCCTAAAGCAGAGCAAACATTTCCGCAGCAGAGAAAGAAGTGTAGCCACAAACTAACAGTTCAAAAATCGGGGCCTGGCCGGCGTGGCTCCGTGGTTGAGCGTTGACCTAGGAACCACGAGGTCGCTGGTTCGATTCCTGGTCAGGGCACGTGCCTGGGTTGCAGGCTCGATCCCGGGAGGGCTGCCCCCTCCTGATCAGTGATGTGTTTCTCTTGTTGTCCCTCTCCCTTCCTCTCTGAAAAGATCAATAAAAATATATTTTCATCGATAAAAAAATCAGGAAAATATCCATTTTAAACAGAGCCGTTATCTTAATAAGCTCCAGATAATCATTGTAAAGAAGTTCTTACACCAGCTGCAGCTGTTAAACACACTACTCCTCTCACATTTATAAAAGTCTATATCCATCTTTTTTAAAAGCATACACACACATACACATATGTGTGTGTGTTTAAAATACTTTTTTATTGATTTCAGAGCGGAAGGGAGAGAGAAACATCAATGATGAGAGAGAATCACTGATTGGCCCTCCCTCCTGCACACCCCCTATTGGGGATCGAGTCTGAAACCCAGGTACCAGGAATCAAACCGTGACCTCCCATTGGCAGGTTGTTGCTCAACCACTGAGCCACACCAGCCCAGCCATAGCATCTTTAAGTGGAAAGATGATACCCCAGCCCCCTGTCTACTCTTCAAATGCAAAACGAAACTATCCATGAAAGGATCGAGTGCTCCTTTTCCCTCCCAGCCCGCAGCACAGGGACCGAGTGAGACCGGCCTCCAGGGGGCGGTCGGGAGGGATGCCCACGCCACCCCACGGGAGGTCGCCCCCGGTTCCAGCTCCGGCCCCGGGAGGACAATGAAACAGAAGCAGCAGCGTGCCCCGCGGACTCCGGGATCTTTCCACCAATAGACTCCCTGTCCATTCGGAATGCCTCAGAAGTATCTCTGGAAATAATCTGGGTTAGGGTCAAGTGGGTGCGACTGACGAGCGGCGAGCGGCGCGGCCACAAGCTGGCGAACGCCTCCAAGCGCGTCCCGGGAGCTCACGCTCACACTCGGCGACAGCACGACGGCACTTAAAACCTGAGCTCCGAGGGGCATGCCGCGCCTGTGCACGCTTCGCGGTCGAGACCGCCGGGGGAAACCTGCGCTCTACCGAGGCCTGTTCTCCGGCGCAGCGATCAGCCAGGAGGGCGCAGAGCAGGCCCAATGCACCCGGGAGGGCGCCGTGTGAACTGGACCACGTGGCCGCCACTGGGAGCTGCGGAGCTGCACCCACCCCTGGACCAGCTCAGGTGACACGCCCGTGGGCGGAAGAGGAAGAATTAGAGTGAGTCAGTCAGAGCCGCTGTCGGCAAACCCATCGCCCACAGAGCCAAATGCCCACAGCACAGCGATGGACATGTCTCTGGAGAGCCGCGTTTTCTAAACTTAAACTTCCTCTAACGCCACTTCTTCACCATAGACTCGCCCAGGCCGTGGTGTTCTGTGGAGGAGCCACACTGAAGGGGCCAAAGAGCCGCATGTGGCTCTCGAGCCGCAGTTTGCCGACCACGGAGTTAGAGCAACCATCACATCCCCCCCCAAAATGAAAAACAAACCCAGACACTTCACGTGAGTGAAAATCACAAACTCCACATCTTTGCTAATAATCCTCAGGCACATTCAGTCCCACACACGACTCTCACTCACGAAAATGCCCTCAAGAAGAAGGGCCGATGCGTTCAGATATAGGGGTGGGGAGCGTCCGGCCCTCGGGCCCACTAAGGCCCCTCCAACTCTCTGGCCTCCCCTGCCGACATCAGGGGGAGCCCACTAATGTCCGGCCAAACCCGTCAGGCCAGTTTTAAGCGGATGGGATTCGGAACGGCCCTCAAATGATCTATCCACACGGCACTTGGCAGGAACAAGGGTCCCGGCCCTGACAAGGAACAGGCTCCTCACTTTTTGAGAAGCTCACAGTGCAGGAAGGGAACGACAGCACGGGGTGTGGCGTGTCAGCGAGGAGCCCACAGCAGCATGGGCACCGTGGACTCCGGGGGCACGGCACGGGGGTCCCGTCAGGAGTGAGGTTAACAGCCCGTGTTGGTCATTACGTGCCGAGGACTGGACAGACAGGCACACGGCATTCCCCAGGGCTCACGGCCAGCTGAGGAGGGGGCCACCTAGAGCTGAGCCCTGGGCCAGGCATCCGTCTCAGGCGATGCCTGGACCTCAGCTGCTCCCGTGACTTAGCAAGTAGACGCAGGGAAAGTGTAATCACAGCTTTTTACCGGATCATGTGTTCTAACACTGGGACGTCATACAGCGAGCTCTCCAGTGCTCACTGCAGACTGCCCGTGCGTCTCTCCCCACCGACTTCTCAAAACACACTCTAACGTGAGCGAGACGCTGGCTGCGCAGAGAGAACAACTTTCTGTCCTGCTTTTAACCACAGGGGACTTAGGTGGAGAGCCCAGGGAACGAGGTAACCAACAGACGGGTGCTCACGTGCATACTGAACTTGTGAGTTCACGGACAACCCAGGAAAAAGCAAAGGATTAGCCTTCAGGTTTACAGAGCGGATGTGTTTCCCTCAGTTAAAATACAGGCTGTGACAGAGACTGCACTTCTTAAAACTTTGAGAGCCAGCTAATCATAAGGGTGCTGGGGGGGGGGGGGGGGGCATGTCTTAGGCCATGATTCTGTGAGGACACTGGTGTCAAGAAGCCAGCAGACAGATGTGCGGAGACGGACTGTTCCTTCATCATTCCGAGCAGATGCACATTTTCATAAACTCCCGTGCGCTTCTTCTAATTCTTAATCAGAGGCTATTCTGAACCAGGACATTTTAACATTTTAATGGCTTTTACTTCAGGAGAAGAAATGTGAACATTTATGTCTGCTTTCAAAGAAAAAGCAAACCCAAATTCTCCAAAGAGAAAAAAAATCCTCCTCCTTCAAACAGGGGTAAGGAACACGGGCCCGTGGGCCATATAAGGCCCGAGGAGTCCTCTGGCCTGGCCCTGCCGAGGCCCGAGGGGGGAGTTTGTTAAATGTTTGACCAAATATAGCAGGCCGGTTTCTGAGCTGGTAATTGTGTATGGCCCGTGAGTGGGTTATAAATATCCAGACGGCCCTGGGCAGAGCGCGCGGTTCCCCACGCTGCCCCCAGCCCGCCTCGGGCGGTCAGAATGCGCCCACACTGGGAGCGCAGAGAGGAAGACACAGGGGCCTGTCGCTCGGTTAGAAGACTCGGTGTTTATATTCCCGTCCACAGCCTCGCTCTCGGCTGGGGCTCGCTGATTCGCTGGTAAATGTTTGAAAGGGTCAGTGTGTCCAGAACTGGAATTTCCACTTTGGAGAAAGCACAGAGGTACCTGACGTGTTCCTGGAGGGCTTGCCCCGCACGCAGGACCCAGATCCCCTCTGCTCTGGCAGGGGGGCGCCGGTGGGTCTCCTGTGGCAGAGCCGGGCCAGACGGGGCCGGCCCAGAGTCCTCCCTCCCTCCCTCCCGGTTCTGGCTGGGAGAGAAGCGTCTCTAAAAGCCGCTTGAATAATGCAAACAGACTCCTCCAGGGAAAACCCCAGGACAGCAGCCGCCCTCCACCTGAGCCCCAGGCTCACCGGGAATGTGGTGCCGCGCAGAGAACTAAGTATTTTTAATGTTAAAACACGGCCCCAGGGACTCTTCCCCCTTGTTCTTCAATAAACCCCCACCTTTGCAAAACAAAACAAACAAAACAAAACAGAACTCTGCCCTGATCTTTGGTGAAGCCCAGAGAGGGGCACCCATCTGTCCCAGGGGCTCAGCTTCTGGGCCCAGCCCCGTCCTTTGGGATTCCTGCTGCCTGTGTGCTGTGTCCTACTCCCCCTCCCCCAGCCAGAGCCCCACGGGCCGGGCAGACAGCAGTGCCTGGTGCCCACAAGGCCGACGCCCCAGGCTGGCCTCCCCTCCACCTGACAGATTTCAGTGACTGTCCTGTGTGCTAAGGACACCCCCGCACGCACTCTGCGTCCAGCTACGTGCTCCTGGCACTCAGCGGCCAGGCCCCCCCCCCCCCCGCGCCAGCCCCGCCTCCTCACAGGAAGTGGGCTTGGCATGCCTCCCTTCTCCTAATTTATAACTGGTGCTCTGACTTCTGGTGCTCTGCCTTCTGGTACACATGCAATAGACTCAGGATACTCGGACTCCACACACCCAGTTCCTAATGGCACTTTCTGCAAACACTTTCCAGGTCGCGGCTTCCTCCCCGCTCCCCCTGCCTTCCCCGGAGAGGCGGAGAGGCCGCGGGCGCACCCCCTGACCTCACCCCTTCGTTGTGCGAACTTTGCAGGAAGGCTGCCGGCCTGGGTGGCCTCGGGGTCACCAGGGCGCGGCCCTCGCACCCTCTCCGGGCCAGGTGTGAACTTTCCTGAAAAGCACCGGGAGGAAACCGAACCCGAGTCCCCGCACTCCCACTTTCTCAAACGCGCCCGCCCGCCCGCCCGCCCCGCAGGCCAGGCAGCCCCCTCCCGGGCCCCGCGGCGCAGGCCGCGCGGGCCGTTACCTGGGCGGGCGGCGCGGCGGCCGGCGGGGCCGCGGGGGGCGAGCCGGCGCCGCGGGGCCCGCTGGGCTCGGGGAGGAGCGGCAGGGGGTCGCGCTTCACGGACGCCCCCGCCGCGGCGTCGGGCTCCGGGGGCCGCAGGCACAGTCTCTTGGGCGGAGAGGGGCCGCGGGGGTCCCCGGGCGCCGCCGCCGCCTCGGGCTTCACGTCGGGGGGCGCGGCCAGGCCGTCCTTGGGGAGCGCGTAGGGGCCGCCCGGCGGGGGGCGCGGGTGCTGGAGGTGGAGGTGGGGGTGGGCGGGCTGGCGGGCCGCCCCGTTCAGCGCCTCGGCGGCGGCACAGGGGGCGGCGGCGTGGGGGGCGCAGCAGCCGTGCCCCGCGGCGGCCGGCGCGCCCGGCCGGGTGCCGATGCCCGCGATGCTGTGGAGCGTGGCGATGGACACGGCGCCGATGCAGTGGTTGGTGTAGGTCTTGGACAGCTTGGCCGCCTTGGACAGCATCTGCATGCGCGTGCCCAGCAGGTTCTTGCCGATGGCCTTGTTCTCGTACCAGGTGGCGTCCGCCTCGCCGCAGTGGTCGCGCGGCCGCTGGAAGAAGGCGCGGCACAGCGGGTTGCGCTTGGCCAGGTACTTGACGAAGCTGGCGTAGGGGCACAGCTCCGTGCCCGTCTCGTACATGCGCGGCAGGCTGTCCTCGTCGCCCGCCTCGGCGCGCTTCCGGCCCCAGGACGACGAGCGCGACTTGTGGTAGGGCCCCTGCGCGCGGAAGTACACGAAGCGGCGGCCGTCCTCGTCGGCCGCCAGCCCGAAGGAGCCCTCCTGCAGCTCGCGCTGGTTCTCGCGGCCGCGCGTGCAGAAGTACATGCAGGTCTCGAACCAGACCTTGTTGAGCAGCCCGAAGGGCGTGCCGGCGGCCAGCGCGGCGGACGCGTAGAGGCGGCGCAGGTCGGCGCGCGTGATGGCCTGCTTCTGCACCACCGGGCCCGCGCCCTGCGCCTCCAGCCGGCGCAGCACGGCGGCCAGCGCCAGGTTGGCGCCGCGCAGCTCGGGGTCCTTGGTGAGGTCCAGCGTGCGGCAGTGCGGCGGCTCGTTGAGGTAGCGGTTGAGCGAGCTGCGGATGCTGATGAGCGAGGACTTGCTGTAGAGCTGGCCGCTCTTGGAGCGCGCCTCGGCGTAGAAGGAGCGCAGCGCGCGGCACAGCGCCGCCTTGTCCATGCTCTCGAAGTCGGGGCTGTGCGCCTTCTCGCTCAGGTACTCGCGGAAGATGCGCACGGCGTAGCGGGTGGCCAGCCGCGTGTTCTCGCTCAGCCGGGCGCGCTCGGGGCGCGGCGGCGGCGGCCCGTCGGGGGGGTCGGGCTCGGGGGCGGCCCCGGGGGGCGCGCGGGGGCCCGGCGGCGGCGGCGGCGGCGCCTCGGGCTCCTCCAGCAGCGCGGCGCCCGGGTCCATATCGATCCTGCGGACCGGCTCCGGCTCCTCCGGCTCCAGCTCCTCCCCGGCCGAGTCCTCGGGCTCCAGGCGCTCATCCCAGTCCAGCCCCATCTCCTCCTCCTCCTCCTCCTCGTCGTCCTCCTCGTCCTCGTCCTCCAGCCCCCCGCCTCCGTCCTCCTCCTCCTCCTCCTCGTCCCCCGTTATCCGCACCTCCCGGATCGCGTCCTCCTCCTCCTCCTCCTCCTCCTCCTCCTCCTCCTCCTCCTCCTCCTCGCCCGCGCTGCAGTCGTGCGGGCGGCCCCGGCGGCGCCCCCGGCCCCGCGCGCGGCGCTCGCGCTCGGCCGCCTCCCCATTGTCCTCGGCGGCGGCCGCGGCGGCGGCGCCCCAGTCCCCGCGGCCAGGCGCCCTCGCCATGTTGCCGTCTCCCCGCCAGTCCCCGGGCAGGGCGCATGCGCTATATTGGACCGCGGCGGAGGCTTTTGTGTGTAATGACCTTCAGCTACCGGAGGCCCGCGGCTCTTAAAGGGGCCGCGCCACGCGGCGCGCGGGGGCGGGAAGCTGGCCGGGGCGGGCGGGCGGGCGGCGGCGGGGCTGCGGGACCCTCTCCCCGCCCAGCCCGCCCCGGGAACTTCGGTGGCGGGCGGGGGGCGCGCCCCGCACTTACCTCCGGCGGCGGGCGGCGGCCGGTCTGAGCGATGCCCGAGGCGCGGTGCCCCCTCCGCCGCCCCGCATGGCCCCGGAGCGGGTGCGGGAGGCGCTGCGCCGCGGAGAGGCCGGGCGCGGAGGCCGGTCTGGGCGGCCCGGGGCGGCGGGCGCGGAGCGGCGGGCGGGGCGCGGGGGCGGAGGCGGCGGCCCGCGCCCTGTGCCCGCGGCCAGGCGCCCGGGCGAGGCTGCAGCGAGCGGGCCGGGCGGGCGCTCCCACCGCCGGCCGTCACCGCCCGGGGCGCGCCCGCGGGGCGGGCAGGTCGGCGCGGGTCCGGGCGGGGCGGGCGGGAGCGGCGCCCGGACCCGGACCCGGACCCGGACCCCCGCCCCCCAGTGTCGGCGAACTGGCCGCGCGCCGCCCCCGCCCGGCGGACTGGACGGGGAGCCCGGCCGCCGGCCCCGAAGGCGGCGGATGGACGGGCGGGCGGACGGACGCGCGGGTGGACGCACTGGCGGGCGGGCGGGCGACAAACGGGGTGGACTCGGTCCCGCCGCCCCGCTCCAGCCCGGGGCCGGGGCCTTCCCGCCCGGGGAGCCGGCCGCCCTGCGCCGCCCTCGGCCGCTGCCCGGGCGCGGGGGCGGCCGGCGGGACTGGGAGGGCGGCCGCTGCCCCCCCTGCAGCCGAGCGCCCGGCCCTCCGCCCGCCGCCCGCCGGGCCGCGTCCCTCCTTCCTCCGCCCCCGCAGCCCAGGCCCCGCAACCCCGGGACGAGGCCCCAGCCCGGGCCGGTCCTCCCGGGCCCCCTGCGCGTGCCTCAGCCGCGGGGTCCGGTCCACCCCCGCCCCCCTTTCCGGACAATTAATCATGTTCCTCATCAACAGAAACGCATCCGTCAGTTTGTAGTTATTTAAGAAAAGGAAAAGGAAGGGAGATCTAGGTCTCCGGGCCGGGAGCGTGGAGGGTGGGCCGGGTGGAGGGTGGGGTGGAGGGTGGGATGGGGGAGACGGAGGGGGGGAGATGGAGAGGAGGATGGAATGGGAGTGGAAGATGAGATGGGGGAGGAGGGTGGGATGGTGTCTTCTCCAGGGACCAGCCCTGTGCTCCGGGCTGTGGGCCTGGGGCCAGGGGAGCATCGGGGAACAGCGCCAGGTGCCAGCAAGTCCGAGCAGGTCCCCGCCACTCCTCCCGGGAGAGTCTCTCTCTCTCTCTCTCTCTCTCTCTCTCTCTCTCTCTCTCTCTCTCTCTCCCATCCGCCCTGCTCCCCATGGAAAAGCTTCCTCCGAGGGGACGGTCTCTGGGGGGCAGCCAGCTTTGTTCAAACTGCCCAGTGGCCCCAGATCAGAAAAAGGCGGGTGTGTGCACGTGTGCGCGCGCATGTGTGTGTCTGTGTGTCCGGAGCCAGGGCCCAGCTGCCCGTGAGCTGCCCACGGGAGGCACAGGCGCTGGCCCCTCCAGGCTTGGCCCGGGAGGGTGGCCCTCGCCCGGACGCCCCAGGTTCCCGGTGGAGCTGGACCCCAGAGGCTGTGTTCCGCCTCGGGGCCTCCTGCCCTGGCTCCAGCGGGGAGCAGGGCGCTCCCCACTTCTGCGCGGGGCAGCGGGGTCCCCCGCCCCAGCTCTCCTCCCCCGGCCCCGCAAGCTGCTTTGAATTGCGAGCATTTCCCAGGGGCGATGTGCCGGTTGGACGCTCCGGGAAACAAAGCGACCAAAAACAGCCCCGCTGACGTCAACTTATTTTCAGAAAAGAAAATAGCTGTGTGCTCCAGGGACAGAAAACCCCGCCGGGCAGGTCTCCACTGGAAAAAGCCAGAGGGCGGGGGTGGAGAGCGGCAGAACCAAAACACACACACACACACACACACACACACACACACACACACACACACTCACCCCAAAACAAAGCCACCCCCAAGCCAAACAGCCTCTCCGCCGCCGACCTGGGAAAACTGCTCTCAGGTGCCCGGACAGTGTCAGCCCGCGCGGACGCACCTTGGAGAGCGGCCTGGCCCGGCCACCGGGGCCCCCGCAGGGCCCCTGGCGCCAGCCCCGGACCCGCTTCCAAACCCTCTGCCCATCCGTACGTCATGGCGTGCTGGAAAGCACCTCCTGAGGTGTGTGCCTGCCTCTCAGGGCAGTATTCACCAGGAAGAACCAGAAAAACCGAGCGGCTGGAACCCAGCCACTCACCCTCTCCCGCTGTCTGCCCCAGCCCCTCACAAGCTGCTTACTTAGGAAAAAAAAAAAAAAAAAACACCAAAAACCAACAATGCACAGTCACAGCGGAGCTCATAAAAGCTTAATAAAGGACCCCTTCGAACATCCGGTGCCTCCCACACGCCTTCCACCCGAGACCCGGAGAAGCTCCCTCCCGATTGCTCAGCAGGGGGAGGTTTGGGCCGGCTGCTGCCCTCAGCCCAGACGGGCGCTTAGCTTTCCCCACCCTGCCGTCCACTCAGCCGCCCTCCCCCCTGAAGCTCCGTCCTGGCTGAGCGGAACGCACACATTCTCTCTGTGAAAAGGAGGCCAGTGTGCGTGGCAACCATCTGACCGTCGGAGAGCTCCTCCCGAGAGTCTGCGCTGAGACGTGGACAACGAACGTCAGCAAGAGGCCACATTTTTGGTCTCTGTGGTCATCCGTATCAAGTAGCATTTGTGCATGTGTGCGCTCCACTTCTTATTTACTTGAGGGTCATGACAGGATTGTTCTGGAAGGAAAAACTGCAAACGTCTCCCCCTCAGCGTACAGCCACCCGCTCCCATGTCCAGGTCACACTTGGTGGGGAGGCGACAGCTTTCACGAAACACATCCAGCTTTCTCCTCTCGGCTCTCAGTCTTCCGAGCATCGTCTGTTACTTAACTGACATAGTTATCCTGTGTCTGCCCGGCTCCTCCACTAACCCAATATGCCGTGGTGGGTTAGGCTGGTGCCTGGGACCTGGGCATCCCTCCCCACCCCTTACCTCCATCATTCCCCTTGAAGGAAGGAAGGAAGGAAGGAAGGAAGGAAGGAAGGAAGGAAGGAAGGAAGGAAGGAAGGGGCTCTGTGCTTTAGGGAAGTCCTATCTTTGGCAAGAAACTTCCTGGTGAAAAATCTAAAATAACATGGATCTGAATGTCTACATTTAAATACCAGGACAGCCCAGCTGGTGTGGCTCAGTGGTTGAGCATCAGCCTAGGAACCAGGAGGTCCCAGTTCCATTCCCGGTCAGGGCACAGGCCCGGGTTCTGGGCTCCATCCCCAGTGTGGGGCGTGCAGGAGGCAGCCGATCCATGATTCTCTCTCATCATGGATGCTTCTCTCTCTCCCTCTCTCTTCCTCTCTGACATCAATAAAAATGTATTTAAAAACACGAGGACAAATGTAACTACAAGGCAACATTCTTGTTGGCAAGTTAAAAAGAATGTGATGGCTGTCTGGCTTTCTGTTTTCTCACCAGGAATTCCCTCTGCCAGGGCCACTGGGGGAAGTGGCCGCAGAGGGAGGGAGGCCTCGAGGAAGAAGGTTTGTGTGTTAAGAGAGGCGGGTCGGGGAGGACTGAAACAGAAACTCGGAGTTCCATGGACTCCTGGGGCAGAGGCCAGAAGAGCCTTTGTTTGGTTCGTCCCTTTCGGTCATTTCTCCGTTCGCCACTTGTTTCTCCCTGGGCCCTTCCAGGCCAGGCTTCCCTGACTCAATCACTGAGACCCACCAGCAGTGGGAGGTTAGACACGACTTCAGACTGAGCCAGTGTGACGTGCCGTGGTTTCAGCCCTTCACTGCTGAGCTCCTCGGACTTCCATGGGAGACCACCTTGAACTCGGATGAAGACAGAGCCCATGCCGTCCCACTCTACAGAGCGAAGAAGACCCCAGCAGAGCAAGATCTGTGTCCTACGGTCATGGCGGACCAGACGGTCATGGCGGGCCGGACGGTCATGGTGGACCGGACGGTCATGGCGGGCCGGACGGTCATGGTGGACCGGACGGTCATGGCGGGCCGGACGGTCATGGTGGACTGGACGGTCATGGCGAGCCAGACGGTCACGGCGGGCGGACTCCCGCCAGCAGGGCTCCTGAGCACGTGGCCGTGCGGCGGGCACTCAGTGAGCGTACACGTGTGCCCGTGCGGAGAGAGCGAACCCCCACGGAAGGGGCTCGAAGCTTCGTCTTTGAAACCAGTCCGCCTGGGTTGGACGCCCGGTTTGGCTTCTCCAGGGCCCTCCTTCATGTCCCAGTCCTCCCAATTTATTGTCCGGATGATGCTAACAACAGCCCTGCCCCCTAGGACTGCTGTGAGGGTTGAGTGGGTTAATGTTAGTACGGGAGGCAGTACAGTGCCTGGAGCATTAGCAAACACCCAGCTGCTGGCGTTTACTCTGGAGGCTTGGTGACAGACAAAAGCCCCAGGCGCGGAGCCTGGCAGAGGGTGAGCTGAGCGGCGTGGCCAGGCCTCCCAGAGCCCAGGGTGCCCAGACCTCACCCATCGGGCAGGAGAGGGAGGCCCACAGGCCAGGCTTGAGCCACCGGGCCACACTGAGCTTCTAGGAACCAGAGAATGGGGGAAAAAAAAAAAAAAAAAAAAAGGAAGGAAGAGAAGGAAGGAAAGAAGAAATCTTCAAGTGAACAACTTCCTTAAAATACAAGCCATCTGATTTGGAGCCAGCATCGTCTTGGACCTGAGCAGGGCAGGCATGGCCCACGAGGCAGCATCCCCTTGGCCACTTGGCCCCTAACACCCAACTGTCTCCTTGGGCTGCTGGCGAGGGACCCGTGTGTGTCTTGGAAGAATGACA